TTCCCTCAAGGTCATCTTATTTCCCCTGGTTTATCACACAAGTGTGTTTGTGTGCATGATACACTGTTCATTTTCACTTTTTTTTTCCATTTTCCCTGTGTTTAGAACATTATAAACAGACATATCTCTGAATTTTTGGAGGTGATTTCATATTATGTTCTTAAGATTTGTATATGCTATTGTATGTAAGTATAGATCAAGGCAATGTTTGCTGCTGTGTAAGATCCCATTTGATGAATATACCTTAATTTTTATTGGTTGTTTCACTAATGGTAATTTGAATTTCTCCATTTTTTGCTTTTAAAACATTTCACTGTGAAAATTCAAGTTCTTGCAGAAATTGAATATTTGAGTCACAAGATAAATGTAACACCTTACAAGATAAAGTCAAATTGTTTTGCAACTTTTACCTGTATCTTTAGTTAGCTTTATAGCTAGTATATAGGTAACATTAAATAGAAACACCAATAGATAATATATGAACATATAATTTGATAGAGAAGTCATGAATAAAACAACATTTTTAGAATATACAAAAGGATATACAATGAAGATACATACTGTAATATACGTCCCCTTCTATTACTGTTCTTTAGCTTTCATACCCCCTCTTCAAGCAAACATTTTACATTCATCTTAAATAAACCATTTTTTAAAATGCTTAATGTCAAGAAATCATCATTTGATTGTGATTTATTTTTGAAATATTCAAAGATATTCAGGATCAATTTGAGGAATCAGTAAGCAATAAAACTGTGTCAAAATTTACATCTGAAAGATTGCGACAGCTGAGCATGGTAATACATGCCTGTAATCCAAGCTAATCAGGAGACAGATGTAGAGGGATCATGGTCTGAATCTAGTCTGGGCAAAAGTATAATACCCCATCTAACTAAAAAAGAAAAAGGACTGAGGGATATGGCTCAAGTGATAGAGCACTTGCCTAAAGTGTGAGATCCTTTGTTTAATCCCAAATACTACCAAAAAAAAAAGCAAATAAAATAATGAGTCAATATGATAAACGGTATCTACTAAAATGTTATGGCTGACATCATATTTAATGGGGAGACATATTAGTGGCTTGTTCCTCCCTAAGATCAAGAACAAGACAAAGATGACTATTTTCACAATTTCTGTGTAACAATGTACAAAGATCTCAGCCTGTAAAATACAACAAAGAAGTGAGAATAGAAAAAGCAGTAAAATTATTCCAATTCACAGATGAGATGAATATTTGTACAGCCAATCCTAAAGAATTAGAGTGACAAATCCTACTTGAATTAGCAAATTTCAGTATAAATGTGGATATAGAAAAGTCAATTGTATTTCTACAAGTCCGAAGCAAAAGATTGCAAATTTATTGTTGAAAGAATTTAGCATGAAAACTTGAGATATAAAACCCTACACTGAGAAGTACAAAATGTTTCTTATGAGAAGTTAAAGAAGATATAAGTGAAGATATAAGTAGAAAGCCAAAACTTGTCAATGGGTTAAAAGATTTAATATTTTAAAGGTGATTCTCCAAAAATTAACTTACAAATTTAACTTTAATTCAAACATAATCTCATTGGGATTTTTACAGAAGTTTGCAAGTTTATTTTATACTTATATGAAAATACAATGACTACAAATAGCTATAATAATCTGAAAAGGAAGAAGAAAATAAAAAGTTTAAACCACTTGATTCTAATATATTCTATAACCCTACAGTAATAAAACAGCACAATATTTGCATAAAATCTACAAATAAATTGATGAAATAGAATAGCATCCACTGGATGTACAATTTTATACTGATAATCAATGTTTCAAGCAAGGAGCCAAAGCAATCCAATGAGAGAAATGCTTTTAACAAAAGGACTAAAATTTGATATTCATTCATGTGGGGGAAAAGGATATATATCCTACTTCACACCATATATAAACCTATTTTGAGATGGATCATAAATTTAACTGGAAAATCTAAAATTATAAAATTTTTGAAGAACAGAAGATTTTTATAATGTGTGTTTTGAGAAACACAAAAAAACAATCATACATCAAAATTCATAAATTAAACTTCATCAGATTTAAATTTTTCTGCTCTCCAAATGACACCATTTAGTAAATTGAACTGGGAGAAAATATTTGCAAAAACTATATCTGACAATGGCTTTGCAGCCATAATATTCAGTTTTTTATAAAAGTATATACCTACCACTTAGCCTAACAATTCTACTCAGATATTTATCTAAGAGAACAAAAGATGTAATATTTTTTGGCACAATATAGCTCAAGCTAGAAACAAACCAAATGTGTAACATTTGGGTAAATACACTGTAGCACATTTTTATGAAGGAACCTTACTCAGTAATAAATAAAGATTTGCTGATAACTACAACACAAATTTTATAGACATTTTTCAAAAAGCAAAAGGCCAGACACAAAAGAGTGTATATTTTATGGTTCCACTTACATCCAAAAGTGGATTGTTTGTTTCTCTATTTCTGGAAATAACCAAGAATAATCAAACTGATCAGTTTCCAGGAAAATTGTGAGCTGAGATAGCCATTAAGACTCTTCCAACATTGATATTCTATGGTTCTATTTGTCAAAAAGTAGTTTAACAAATTCAGTTTCCTAAACTTTAAATACTAGAGGCAATTGGTCTGGCAGTAATTATCACTGCTGTGATGAATACCTAAAACATAGTTTGGAAAAATCAGCAGGTTGCTGTTTTATGAGAAATGGTAAACAGTTGAGGATTAAAGAGTGTTACTTGATAAACATGGTGTCTTAGGTCTCATAATAGTAATGTTGACATATCCATTAGTTAAAGGTCAAATCAAATCTCAGTAAGGACTGAGAGGTAAGAACATAATGCTGCCTAATACCTGCCAGGAGAACAAAGTTTTCTATCCTAATAAAAGACAGTTGGAGTTCCATATTTTATTCTGCACTAATCTGCTATATATTCTCTTAGTTGAATTATGTGAAGGTCTAACCTTATGTAGATATACATGTCTCTACAAGTATTTACTATAAGTGGGAGGAGTGTTTCAATAATATTTTTAGAGAGTTAGAAATATTCTTCTTTGATTCTTAACAAATGTTGGTTGCTTGAATATTAGACTCCTATCATTAAATGTTGTATACTCTGTTTCATTAAAACTAATTGGTTTACATTGCACTTTGAATGGATCTTTTAACCACGCTTGATTTCATAACATCATAGATTGGCCATTTGGAAAAATTTTAGTTCATGTTATGAAGATCTTCCTAATACTGAAATATTTCATTATACTATCAAAAACTCATAGCCATTAATATAACTGCTAATGACATCAGAAAAGTCTTTAGATATAGGGAAGCTATTAGATTCTAGTGGCAATTGTAAAGGTTCTGAAAGTCTAATTTTCTCTTAAAATCTCAAATTTTACCACAGGTGATCAATACTTTTAGTTTTTTTGTCTTGAAGTAACAGGGTCATTTCATTCACTTATAACAAAATACCTGCCAAATCTCTAAGTACAACTAACCATAGTGTGTTTCTTGTCATTTTTCCAGGGGCATGGTCATCCACTGATGTGCAACTCAAACAATAGTGCAACTATTTCTCCTGTTGGCAACCTTGATACTCCAAGATCCAACAGAAGTGCCTCATGTATACTTCCCACTTGACACATAATATTAAAAATTCTACTAAAGAATGGCAAAATAATAAAATCAATTATTTATACTGCTTTTACAAAAAGACTATTAAGGAAAAACTGATTTATTTTCTTCATGTGTATGGCAGTATCTGCCAATGCAGTTTGATGTATTATCTTTTTTGCTAAGATTTCAGAAGTTTTCTCTATCATTACTTTTGAGGCATCAGTACAAATGTCAACACTGAAAAAGTCAGTATCATCTGCTATTGCTTCAAAGTAGCTCATCCTCTCTGAAAACTCGTACTAAAGTTTAAACCCCATTGTGAGACATTAGGTCGTCTGACATAATCAGACTATTTGGTTTAGAGTGGGGTCTTTGAGGGGTGATCAGGATTTAATAAGGCCATCAGAGTGGAATCTCCATGATTCAACATTGGTAGCTTTGTAAGAAGAGGGAGAAATACCAAGGAAAACATCTTATCTTTCACCATGTGACATCCTGTGCCACTCCAGGACTCTTGCCAGCAAGAAGACCATCACCAGATGTAGCCCCTTCACCCAGAACTGTGAGCTGAAACAAACCTCTCTTCTTTATAAGTTACCTAGTCTGTGTCTTACACTAACTACCATAGTTGTTTCTCCAAACTATTTATCAAGGTACTGTTGTTTAACTAGCTGTAGCTACTAAAACTAATGAAGATCTGATCTCTTACTGAACAGAGAATAGATTTCCATCACCCCAAGCTTTTCAATCATATCACTCAGGGTCCCACTGAAACATACCTATATTAATCAGGAAAAATAGGACATTTGTATTTAGCTCTTCAATCTCTTAAATGCATTATTTTGTAGGACAGATGCAAAGGTGATGGGAGATTTAAAAAACAAAACAAGGCTTTAATCAACACAGCAATTAGCTAGAGACAGTGCTGCTCCCGTGGGACTAAAGAAGATAATATTCCTGTTGCATTGTGTGGGGAGAAAAATAGCCATTTAAAAATATTCCATAACTCTCTGCACTTTTTAGTTCTCATCTGCCAGGCAACATGAAAACACTTCTTCCCACACTTGTCCACATTAGGTTAGATATTGATTTTGGAGCAGGATGAATAAAATAAAACATTTGAGAAAGAGCAAAACATCAGTCATACCCAGCTAGCCAGATATTGTCAAATATCAAGGAGTTAACATTTAGATTCTTTAATGTTCAGACTGCCAATAATAGCACCTCTGCAAATTTAAGCACTGACTTCTTAAGCCTTTTAAGATAACTGAGGAAATTAATCTGGTAAAAACAGCACCCTGCTATTACTATCTTCATCTTCCTATGAGGTCAAAAGTTTCCTTTCTTCCTTCCTTCATTCTCTCTCTCTCTCTCTCTCTCTCTCTCTCTCTCTCTCTCTCCTTTCCTTCTTTCCTTTCCTCCCTCAAATATTTCGAGTACCTACAGTGGACCAAAAGTAGTGTAGTAACTCACTATAGGATCCGATGCTTCAATGTGTTTGACTTTTTTAATTTATGAAGGTTATTAGGGAATCTTTGGGAACTACTGCAGCAGAAACTACACCAATAATTCATAAGTACTAAGACAACAACATCTACTCTGTAATTAGGAATTTTCTCTAGTGTTAGCTATCTTCTCTTCCATTGTGTCCAAACTTATGTGCTGATGACTGTATGCTGTGTTTTTAAGTATCTCTTGTTGCCTTGGAATTGTATTGCTTCCTGACTTTTATTCAATTCCCCTCATTTAATAACACTAGCTATTCACTTTGTAAATACTCTGCTCTTTGGTTAGCTGTACTTAGTGAAATTTACTGACATTTTGACTTATCTTTTGCTTTATTTATAAGTATACATAAACCTGGGAAAACAATCTAGAATGGTGTTTTAGTAAGAGCTTTGAGTTCTGTAGGCGGTTTTCCTAAATTTGGATTGCAATTTAGTCATGTCCTAGCTTTGGGACCACAGGCAAATTACCTAATCTCTCTAAGTCTTTGTTTCCTCATCAGCAAAATGTTGCTAATCATAGTAGCTTCTTCAAAGAGTTGCTCTATGATAAATTGAGATAATGTACATAGCATTTGGCACAGTACCTGGCACATGGTAGGGAAAAAACAAACATTAGTCCAATAAAATTAATATGTTAAAAATTACATTCTTCCTAAATACACCTTATCTTGATTATTATAGCTTAATCAGTATACTTTTATTCATACAGTTGACATTTTTGCCTGTTGACTTCTACACTGTAACTTACACCATAGGACCTCCTGATTTTCCAGCTTCCTGACTGCGTATTTGGAATTTGTCAGCCTCTAACTGCATAAACCAATTTCATATAGCCTCTCTCTTTCTCTTCATCTTTCTCTCTCCCTGTTTGTCTTTCCCTCCTTCCTCTTGCTCTCTCTCTCTCTTCATCTATCTCTCTCCCTGTACCTCTCTCCCTCCTTCCCCCATGTGCACACACACATACACACATGAACAGACACACATGCATGCATGAAGTATATATGAATGCACCCAATTAATTCTGTTTTGCTGAAGAACCCTGAATAATACAGGTGAGGATAAGGACAAATTGTAGAGTGCATGCTTTGTTGTAGCTGAGAGCTACCAGGTGAGAATAGTGAACTAATTCTGCCAGATGATTCATTTGTCAAGAGGAGAAATCTAAAATGCTTACTATCTCAATTTTTGAAGAGTGACAACAACATTAAAAAAAAATAAGCACATCTCATCAGCAATGCAAGATATGTTTAGAGGTCACAGGCATCCTAGCACCTCTAGTTATTTACTGCTACTTTAGATAGTTAGCAGGCCTTAGGGGTTTTCTGAACAGATGATTCTTATCACATGGCAAGAATTAGAAGAGGAGCATTATAAGGGCTCCGAGTCTAGTTAAGAAGGTCTTGCTGCATTGAAAGTTCAAATAAAAGAAGTCTAGAGTATAGTTATAATAATGAGACCAGAAAGGAAGAACACTTGAGATATGTGGTGGTAATATACATGGATGGGTAATGAAACTTGCCATTGCAAGACAAAGTTAATCCTCAACCAGTTGGTACAATTATTCTTTCTCCCACTGCTGAGATAGCAACAGAAGAAACAGAAAGAGAAAGGAAAGTTTAATCTGTGAAGTATGTGTTCTTATTAAGGTAACACTAATTAATGGAATAGGTATATTTCAAACTTTGATGACATAATAAATAGGTTTACTTATCTCTCGTGTAACAGTCTTATATAGCTGTAGTGTAAATATCTTCTTCACAATAATTCAAGGATTGAGGCTTTCTTCTCTTGAAGTTGTGCCACACCAAAGGGCCTCTGAGTCCTTCACTGCAGGTCAACAGAAGGTAAAGAGCCCAGAGGAACAAGCAAGGAGTTTATAATATGCCTAGTCCAGAAATACATAGAGCACATCATATTTGCCTATATTTTATTCATAATACCACACCTAACTGCAAAGGAGGATGAAAAAGGAATTTGATGAACAACTACCCAGTCTGTCAGACTATAAGTATTTACTCTTTCAGCTCATTTTCTCAACTACAAATGAGTGGCATGGATCTGGTTCTTTCTTAGGTCCTTTACAGTTTAATTCATTCTTTATTATTTTGTTATTGTAATTATTTGTATAGAGGCATTCAAAGGCATTACAAAATACATTTTCTTCCCTCCATATTAAGAAAGTAAATATCATGTATTCAAATTGAGTCTCTATATTGAAATAAATGACAAAAATATTGAAAGAATAATTTTTTTAGGATTTTGTAAGAGGAAGGTTAGAGATGTCTATATAGGTGTCATTTATTTCTATTACCCATTAGATCTGTATCTCTTCTTGACTTATTATTTTGCTGTGTTTACTGGAATGGTTTCATTATTATTATTTTGTCCAGCATATTTTTTACTTTTATGATGTTTTTACTTGTGAATTTTTTCATTATTTCATATTATCATAAGGCAGGTTATTTTAAGCAAATGGGATAGTCTTCCAATCATAAGCAGGCCCAGTTTAGCTTTTGACAAATCATGAACCACTACGACAAAGCAGCAGACAGTGTTACTGAAATGTTTATAACCTTCTGTGGTTAAAAAAAATTCAAAGACACGCACTATATTAAAAGCACTGTATCCTTGCATGGAAAATCTATTATCTTTCAGGGACTTCTATTGAAACAAAGATTCCTTTGATGATGATTTACAGCTGAATAACAGGGAATAAAAGTTTCACTAGTTGCCTTGCAAACACTGTCCTCATTAATGCTGACCAATCAAATCTTGGCTCCTCAAGATTCTTGACCAGAGTGGAAATCATCACATGTACCTGTCCTTTCTTTGGACTCTGAACTAATCCCAGGGTGTATTATTACTGGTGTTACCAGGTCTAGGAAACACACTTCTTAAAAGTCTCTCTCCAGTGGCTGTACTTAATCTGGCTTCAGATAATTTTTACCCTTAATGATAACTTTGTCTTTGGGACATGTGTATTCTAGCTTCTACTGTATTCTCTTTAATTACTGCTCAGCATAAGAACAGTAATTAAAGATATAATACTGTATATACTATAAGAAGGAATTTTTTAATTTCTATAAAAAAGATTTTTTTTTAATTTCTACCCTAGATTTATTATAGTGTGCATATGGAATACTGTTATGTCCTTTCTTATAATAATATCTTGTATATTATTGTAACTAAGGAAAAGTACTATTCAAATAACATATTTTATTAGCTATCATCATAACACTGATCACATAAAATCAATTGATATCACACAATAATTCCTTCCTGTATTTCTGTATGCCATAGTTATTCCCACAGTAGTGACAGTGAGTATATACAAAAGGGTAATGCAATTTTCTAGACTTTAATTAACACTGAATGGAATTATGCTAAGAACAAATAAAAGATGAACAGTTCTTTCTTTTCATCTTCTTGTTCTCTCTTGATCATAACAAAAATAATTTATAATTTCAACTTCTCCTGCTGCTTCTCCAAAATCCCAGTTTTAAACCCAGTCAAAAGATGCCAACATATTCCAAAGTGAGAGAATGCTTTGGATTCAGTACTCCTCCTGTCTTCCTTGTCTTTAAGAGATTTAAAGTCTTTTCTTTCCCAAGCTGCCAGTTATGCTGAATTGTTCTGAAATGTGAATGATTTTTTTCTTGTAAATATGAACTACTATCAACTAGAGCAACAATGAGAACTTCACACTTGTCATTTACTAAAACCTGCCTTTTGAGCCCTGTCAGTCATGTGCCTCTACATGTGTGTTTCTTGGTTGGAGCAGTGTTGTTTTACGGCAGCTTCTGTTTAGGAATTCATGTTGCTGTTTGGCATTTATATAGTTCAGCTGTTAGAGAGTCAGGGTAAGAGGAAAGAAAGCATGCAGAAGTGAAGGGTTCAGGGACAAAGAGGGAAATAAGAAAGGGCTTTAGGTTATGAAATAACAATGCCAGCCATGTGGCAGCAATAAACCACAAGCACAACCCCTCCGTTTAGGAAAGACACTGTGACAGCAGAACAGATGTAGCCCACACCCATCCTGATGATCTGGGTGGCCGAATGCTGGTACAAAGGGCAAGTGTTGCATGAAATATTAGCAATTACCTTCACCTTTCAATATTTGTCATTCTTTACAACACTGAGCTTGATTAAAATGTATGCCACTGAGCTTAGATGTGCCTAAAGCACAGACAAAGAGACTCTGGAAATGAGGCACACTGATGAAAAGCAAAATACTCTGGGTTCTACCCAGGGTTGACAGAACTGTACATGATTCATAATGTGGGTTCAGATATGCTCAGACATTCAGATAGTAGCCCAAGATTTATTTGCATAAAACTGTATCCTTGGGGGCTCCTGCATTTTAATAGAAAAATAATAGGAGTAGGATTTCTCTGGAGTTCTCAAACACTTTGAGATTCTTATTAGTCTCAAATCACTAGGAAACTTTGAGTTTCAAGATTTGAGGTTCAGGAAGCAAGCTTTCTAGAAAATGTAAACAAAGAATAATGCAAATCAAATTCACCCCTTTCCTAAATAACTGCAGGAAAGGTAACATAGATTCTCATCTTTGTTTAACTGACATTTTCTATTTTCTTGCCAAAGTGAAAATGTAGGATTCTAGAGATTCTTTGGAAGATCTGCCCTATTATTAAAAGTAAATAGGTAGAGGTTAAACAAAAAATTGAAGAAGTTTTAAGAAATCATATTTTTCCAAAAATCATTGTTTCTACTTGATAGCTGCCTCCCCTTTAGCTAAATAACTTGAGTCTTACAAGTGTTGCATTTTAGATTTGTTGTGACATCTATACTGTAATAATTACATCTCTACTCCAATGTTATAAAACTTAATGTATCAGTAAAATATCTACTCCTTATATTTTAATATTTGTACATTAATATGTTTGTATTATCTCATTAGAAAAATCCATTAATGCAATAAAATACAACTGACTATATAAATAATCAAATGGTATAATCAGACTTTAAAATATAAGTACAACATATTATTTAGAGTAGATTCGTATTCGTGTCTAACTTCTTAGGAAAGCACATGTATTCTAGCTTCATTTATGTTCACCTATATGTTTATAAAACAATAAACTTCAATCTAATAATTGAAATGGCATATACATTAGGACTAAAATGATCTACATAGTGTATGTATACTGATAATGCCCGACAATAAGAATTCTTTGTATTTGTACAATGAACGATGTTCTTAACACTTAAAATCTCTTCAGGTATAATGGGGAATACATCAATTTTCACATACTTATTGTTTCCTCTGTTTTAGCCATTTACCAAACCAGAAGAGTAAATTAAATTTTTTTTGCCTTTCTCTTCCACATTTAGAAACTGTATTGCAGAAATTCTTTGAGAGTTAGAACATTTTTTTAGTATAGCAAGTGGTTAACTGAGGCATACACTCAACTTTGTGTTTCAAGAGCCCAGCAACAGAAGTATCCTTAAAGTAATAAAATACTAGATGACAAAAAAAAGCTAATGATTACTTAACACCTCAGGGCTTCAAAAAGAGGTATGCATTAGCTTTGAGACTAGGGCAGGATCTCAAGCACTGTGCTATGTTGTGCATGGCATGAGACTGCAGTTTACTGACTTTTCTTTTCCAAATAGGGAAGCAGTAAATTTCTAATCTAGTATTGGAAGTAGAGTTGAGCATGGTGGCACAGACTTATATTCCCAGCAGTCAGGAGGGTGGGCCAGGAGGATCTCAAATTCAAGCCCAGATTGTCTAAAAAGAAAAATTAGGAAAGAAGCATGGAAGGAAGGAAAGATGGATGGAAGGAAGGGAGGGAGGGAGGGAAGGAGGAAGAAATACAAGCAGAAAAAAAGTCTTAGGAGAGTTAATAAATAAATGCTGTGAAAACTTTATGAGCTAATACCTAGACATGTTTACTTCAAAAAACATGGCAATTCACACACGACAATGGGAATGATACAAAGAAGATCAGTGTGGCTTCTGCAATGGATAGATATAAATTTGTGATGTTATGTACATTTTCAGTGGATACCAGTGGTGGGGTATGTGGGCAGGTAAAGTCCACAAAGAGATACAACAAAACTTCCGAGAGGTAATGGGCAAGTTCAATGTCCTGATTGCAATAGTGGTAATATAGCTGTATACATTTATTCGACTCATCAAGTTTTATGACTAAAATTAGTGCACTTTATTCAAGTCATATTTCAGAAAAGCTGACAAAAATATTCTCAAATACTAAAAGAAAAATCTTTGTAATAATTCTGACTCCCATTTCATACCCTAATTGGGATGTTAAAACTTCCTGGAAAGCACAGAGACCATCTCCTTCTAGTCTTCTAATTTTGAGGATTAGAAGCAGCAGATTTTATATTAACTCATCAATCTCTGATAATTAAGTAAAAAGTTCATCATATTCATATTTCAAAATAATTATTTCAAGGTAAGTACCTAATAAACTAAGTGAAACCAAATGTTGAGGAAACATGTAAAGTGCAATGTTCAGTAAACATAATGGGCTGCTTCTGAAAAAGCAAAACAAGAGCCATGTCTTCCTTCAAGATAAATGCTATCATTCAACTTGTGATTATAAAATTCTATTTTTTATTTCTTCCACCGTTTGTTGAATTAAAATTTAAAACAAACATGTATGTTCACATGTTAGGCATGGAACATGGGTATCTGTGTGTGGTTATGTGTATGTCTTCAGTGTTTGCTTTCACAACAACAGGAGTTTGGTAATATCAATAATATGGAGTGACTTTTTGCTTTGTCTCCCTCTAGGCGTTTTTTCTGGTCTGTCAATCTGATGAAGTGGGAAAAATGATGC